TCCTCTGTGATCTAGGTAAGATGTGAAACTGGGGGAGTGTGGGATGTGTTTCAGTCTACACATTTAATCATAGGATATCTAACACCGCATATGCACATGTAACAATATAAAAGTGAGCATTGCTTTATGATTCATCAGTCTTACAATAATATAACACCAAAAACTAAAATGCTAATATGCTTTACAAGTTGGGATGCATAACAATAATGTCATCACTTTACATTACCAAGTCTTATCTGTATCCTCTTTTGAATGATTTGTTGCTGTTTAGAAATTTCTCATTTCTAAAGAAATCAGACGTCAAACTCTATTCCAGCACCACTGCATGAGCTGCTCTGGATTCTCTTTATGTACGCTGACATGAGGGCCACGCTCTCTGTAGTGACTTTCTCCTACCCATATACTATGTATTTAAGCTCAGTAAAGTTAAAGCTCAGTCTGTGTTTTACATTGCAGCTGTTAGCGTAGGCTCAAGCCGCAGCACACCTGCTGTCACACCTAACTGATGGTGCCATTAGGGACCTTTGGTAGCGTGAGGATATGAACTTTTTAAGACAGTGCACAGGTGCCCGTATAGGCTACCAACTGGTGTTTAGAGGTCACAAGAGGTCACTGTTCACTGTAAATATCTTGCTATGACAGAGACTGTGTTTATTATATAAGGAGAGCACCTGAAAACCTTTGACTGGAAACCCATCTCGAATGACTATCCAGGCCCTGAACTTTACAGCTACACTATCAGTGTGGAAAAACAACAGCCCATGCCAGATATTTCTCTTAAGTATGAATAAATGAAAGAAAGAATAAAAGCTCCCTTACAAATAAATATTCTGCCTTCCAATTCTTACTTGAGTGAAACACACAACTCTGCTCTATAACCATACAACATTAGTTGAAACAACAAAGCAGGCAGAAGTAGTTCTCTGTGCTACGTCAGCAGGGACAACTCACTGCTCAGACTGTCATTTGTAGACACTGGCAGCCTGCAGCATGTCATGAGGTTCGTTTGATGTATTACCTCAGATCTTCCCTGACAGCCTGCAATTAAGACAGATGGGAACCGAGAGACGGCGAGGTGGAGGGCCCAATAATGAGCATCAGACAAACAGACAGAGGCACCACATGTAAACAGCAGAGAGAGGATGAAAAATTATGGAAGAAAGACTCAGGCCACATGTGCAAACACAGAGGATGTGGCCACTGAATATTATGTGTTATAGTACAACCCCAAATCAGAAAATGTTGGGGTGGTATGTAAAATCCAAAAATAAAATTAAAAATAGTGATGTGTAAATTATCTGTGTATTATATTGAAATAAGAGTTTATTTTGAACAAAAAATAAAATTGATGAGGTATCACTTCAAGTAAGGTGCTTCTTCTGTGTTGTTTTCACTGTGATACGGGACAAAGATGATTTATCAATATTTTAAGTTTTAATGTTTGTTTTTACATACATATGACTTTACATACAGTCCCAACTTTTTCTGACATTGGGTTGTACATTTATCTTTGCTCCTCACAATTATTTCATTTTTGGTGACCTGCTTCCATCATTGACCATCCGCCTGCTCGAGCATCTTCCTCTGTAGTCTGGATCAAAGAAGCAACCTTATATTCACTTTATTAATGACGCCACAATGGGAAATACCACAGAAGCAATCCAATTTATGTCATAAATTTCCTGTATCTAGAGTTAAATCACAGCTGAGTCTGGAAATGGACAAACAAGTGGTTTAAACTCAAAAATAAGAGGAATAAATAGAGAACGTCTTTAGGCAACATGTAACCTAATCCCCCTCAAAGGGTAGATGACAAGGTGGATGTTGGTTTGGGCAGGGTCGAAGTTCAAGCATGTATAAAGTCAACAGCACAGTATTTTACGGGTGATGTTCCCTGAAACGGTGCTATTTATACCAAATTACAGCAGGCACCTCAGCGCAAGGGAGCACACAGCTGGTTTTCTCTTGCCAGAAGCACTGATTTGAAAGGACTTCCAATCAAACAACGTCAGCGTTGAGTTATGACTATAAGCACAGGGTGCCTCCAGTGCAGTGTTTTGAATGAGTGGTTGAAATTGCAGCCTTTACTGTGGTGTGTGATTAAGGTCTGTATATGAGGATGTCAGCCCCCGAACACTTGAGGGAAGGGCTGCTAACTGACGTTAGTAACGTGCAGTGATAACATGTTCATGTGGCTCCTTCTCTACTCTCACTCATTCTATCTTTTCCTGTGTGTGTGTTTTAGCCTCTGTGTGTTTATATGTATCAAATTACAGCCAGATGATGGAGTTATAGTGTGGGATCAAATCCCCCCTGAATGTTTTCTTCCTTTCTGTTTCCCATCTGTCTGAACAAATAAAAAATATTGACTATGAGTACATTATCCTCTCCCCTCTGCCATCCACCGCAGGTATTCATATATTTTCCTGTCATGAACAATCATTTCTCACTTCTGCTTTGAGAAAGAACTTATTTACCCTGAAAAAGAGGGTTCCCTATCCAGCCTAGTAAGAACACAACAAAGAGGACTTAAAAGAAAAACCCCACACCCTGATATGCTTATAGAGTCAAACACTGTCAATCTGTGGTGATCAGTGCATTTCTGGACTTAATTTGTGGTCAGGTTTTGTAATGTTACTGTTTGTTTTCCACAGCTTCCTTTGTCTACTTGTACTTCCATTACTTCTTTTGTTCCCCAGTTGGCACTGCACAGAGAAAGTGGCTGAAATTTGATAGAGATAGGAGAATGGATTGTAGAATAAGAGCAGCAAGGTATTTTAAGTAAGAAAAAACATATTACATTCCTGAGTCTAATTATAAGATGCCATTCTGCTTTACCAGCACTGCAACCTTGTTCTTCACTCATGGGTTTCTTTCTAAATGCTGATAATGGACATGAATATTGAACATCAGTGCAACCCAAAACAAATTACATGACCCCCTGATGTTTGATAGCGATGTTTTAGATAGCCAAAATATTTCACATGTTGTAGATGAAGAAAATACAGATATGTATATGTAACACTGTGATCTAGAAAGCAGCAAAAAAGCACATAAAAACTGAAATCGTCTCAATAGTGCATAGAACATCTAAAGGTTTTAACAGTGTTTAAGCCTTTTAAGGTAGAACTTCCCTTTAAATGACAGTGCTAAAAGACTGATGTGCATTTCCTTGTATTCTGGACATTTGAAACTATAGTTCTCTTAATCTTAGCACAAAAGGAAACAGTAAACACTTCTGAACCACCCATAACTAGCTGCTTTACACCCTGCCTGCTGGCTTTCAACAAATGATTATGTTCATCATCAATTAATATAGGTATTGCATTATCTTTGGTATTATTAATCAAATGTTTTATCTAAGGGATATAATACATTTTGAATTCTATATGCAATTACAAGTTATCAGAGTCAAACTATCCAGCATTTGGTTAAGCTAGTGTAAAACATCAAATATTTAAGATGTTTTTATCCTATATGTGTTATAATTCTGTTCCATCTGGTTCCTGTCTCATACTTTTTTTTTATACTACTTCCTGTCACCAGCTCACTCTGACCCCTGGGAACTTTTTCTCATCACTGGCTTCACCTGCTTCTCATTAATCACACCTGGTTACAATAGCATATAGGCAGCTTCTCACCTTGTGAGAAGCTGCTAGATCGTTCTAATCCATGTCAGGTTTTCCAGCGGTTTTTCTTGTGCCTGTTTTGACCCCGGCTTGCCATTGACCACCGGGTACTGCCTTGCCCTTCTGATTCGGACTGTGTTCTGTGAATTCAACTGTCGGACTTCCCTCTCTGACCTCTCGCTTTGGATCCCTCGGCTGTGTAAGTTTGCTGGCTCTGACCCTGGACTGTATTAACGACCTGAGAGTGTTACGTGCTGAATCAGTATCTGGCTTTGTCATTGTTTGTGTCTGACCAGTGTGCTTATTAAAGAGACTGTGTTTTACTGATCCTTGTCTGGCTCTATAATTGAGTTCACCCTGTGACATCATTGGCTTTATGCGCTGACCCTGACAATATGCTACACACTTAACCTGAAACTTGTCACTGATTGCTGATGAACACTAGTTCATCATGTCCTTAGTTTCACCTTGACCTCTCAAACAACCATGTTATCAGTGTCACCTTCCACCATTGACTGTTCGGGTCATCCAATGCTGCTTCAAATGTCACAAACTTAACTGTTCAGATACCACTTCTATGTCAATTTAGGTTCACTTCAGTGAGACTGAAAAGAGGCCTCTGTGTGGACATCCATCACCCACAGACTACAGGGAGATGCCTACATACAGCTATGTAACACTTAAGAACATGCACACCACCTGACACAAAAGCAGGACATGTACTTGGGGTGGGGTGGGGGATCGTTTTCAAAGCTGTAATTTAAATGTTCAACATTTAATCAGCTGAGTACGGTAAGCTTTTATAGAAGCCAAGCAATCATGAGTCAGTAATGTAACTTTTCCAAAACACTTCTGCCACAAAAGCGAAAAAGTGAGCTTAATGCAAGGATGTGAGTCCCTTAAGTGTTTTGTTACTTGTGGGGAAATAAAGTTGGTGCCTTTCTGCTGTCATTTGTATGCTGCAGGAAACACTCTAGACAGAATAAATTACATTATGTGAATATCAAGTATTGTTTCAAAATTAGAGATGTGCTTCCTCCTGAGTTGACATTTACAAAGAGAGGCTTCCATTTATAGCCTGTTCATTCTTCAAGTAAAAAGGTTTTAAATCAGGCTTAATCACATTTTAAACAAAACATGTTGAACGGGATCTACAGCAGAGGAGTTTGAATGTGGCACTGCATCGCTCTGCTCTGCTGTTCACTCTTTAAATTTGCAATGCAAACAGAAGCCATTTCACACAAAAGGTAGGATTTCAAACATGCAAGGAGAACTTGAACTGTTCAAGGAAACCAGTTTGTGCTCAGGCTATGAAAAAGATGAAAGTGCATAATGTTAAAGGTGAAAGTGTAAAAGAAAAAGATGACTTACTTTGAAGATGTTTAATCCTTTCAGACCATTTGTTCAGAGATTTAAAATTATTCCCATGAGTTGAGTGGCTGTTACAACCCAAACCCTTCTTTCACACTCACTCGCCTGTTCACTCTCGGTGGCTTTCGTGCAGACTCACTGGGCTGCTGTAAGACACATAGGAAAAGAGAGAGAGGCAAAAAACAAACCCTTCACATTCTGTGGATTCTTGGGAGCATGCCAAAGTCCCAGAATTCCACATACCACACATAAGGTTTCAATTAAGACCAAATCCAACACTCAGAATGCCTTCCTCCTGAAAAGAGCCTTTGTTTTGACAGCTAAAGGCTGAAACGACTAGAGTTTAAGGTTTTGCTGCTATTCTCTGAAGTCATTTTAAAACAAATTTATAGGACAAAATCATGGTGGTGCTGTATTAGCCTACAAATTTTCTAATTGTGCAATTATAAAAGCCTCTAACTAGGCTACATGACTAGCATTAAACTATCCTAAAGACCTTTGAGTGTGATCATATAAAGTAAAATACTGATCTTTGACTCTGCTACACACAAGCTGCTTTTGTATTCAATTCAGTAGCACTAACACAGCAGTTTGTCACAGGCTTAATAGTCAAACCAGATCCGTGAAGTGTGTCAGCAAGAGGTCATCTTCTAATGTGTGTGTTTTGCTGATGATGTGGCCTGAACCCTGCATGAAAACAGTCACTTGGTTTTCTGATTCTCTAATTAACAAAGTTACCCACTGTATTTACTGATGAGGAAGCTATGCTATCCAGCAGCAAAGTTGACTCCAACTGCTGGAAGACTTTTAATAGAATTTAAGAATTTTAGAAATTTTATAGTCTCCTTGTGTGAAGTTGTTTTTTTCAGTTGCGTTTAACAATGCTAGTGCTCTAGGGGTACAGAGGTATATTGTTGTGGTCCAGACTGAAATATCTTAATTATTGGCCAGATTACTGTGAATTTTGAACAGATGTTCATGGTTCCCAGAGAATAAATCAAAATGACTTTGGTGATTGCCTGACTTTTCTAGCACCTGAAGATGACCTTTGTGGTTTTTACTAAAATACCCCGACAGCTCTTGGATAGACTGCCTTGAAATTTGGTAGAGTATCATGTAGGATGAATTGCGATAACTTTACTGACTCCTTAATTTTAACTTTTTTAAACTGTTGAAATTTACCCAACTGACCAAATACGTGCAAAGGTTGTGCTTTGTGTGTTAGCATTTTAACGTTCTAAGAAATTAAACAAACATCAGGCATTAGCCCAGAACACAACTGTATAGCGTCACAGAGCTCTTGTAGCATGGCAGTACACTCTTGTATTGTTAAACACAAGAGGAACTTCACTTTTAAATTTCAGAAAAGTAATGATATGAAATTTGTATACATATATCTGTAAATATCACTGTCAAACTATGTGTTTTTCTGGTAAAATAACAATCACTCGGTCTTTTGCAGCAGAATGTATTTATGGCTCTACAGTAACAAAGGAAAACCAGTCAGAAAGGAGCCACATAGAATATTTTCTGAACAGCTGCAGCAGTGTTGCATGCTCTGGCCCATCTTAAACAAATACCATGTGCTGGAAACTCTGATTCATGACAGCAGGGGCTATAATGCAAAAAACACTACCAGCAGACAGAGACAAGTGAAACTCATACATACACATAGGTTACACTCATTTTAAAGAAAACATACCAACACATTGTTATGCACACAGACACACACGTTTATTTTCATTCCTTGTGGGAACTTTGCATTAATTTCCTGGAGATGTACCCTGACCTTAATCATAACCACCATAACTGCCTAACATCTAACCCTTACACCAAGTCATCAGTCCCCACAATTTGAGTATGTAAACAGATTTCCCCACCGTAGTAAGTAATACCAGGTGCACAGACAATGATAATTCAGGATATTTTCCAAGTAGGAAATTCTTTAATAAAGATGACAGAAGTCACAGCTTGTCCAAAAGCTTAATAATAACTGATCTTCAATGATTACAAACAGAAAGTAAGCAGATATTATAAATACCCCCCCACAGCCCATACCATGGACCTTGATGACATGCTAGTAGGAAACATCTTTCTGCTCATTTCGTTTCAGTCCAATGTTGTATAAAAATCACCAGGTAAAATGAGTAGATGGCTATACCCACCTAGAGAGTATCTATCATTACATATAAAAATAAGTTTCATAAGCAAAATAAATAAATGCACTTGAGTAATGCTTCATATAGTTTAGTGCAACAGGGATGCCATCCTTCATATCATGCTGTGTCCTCAAAACAAATATGAATAATCTGTGACATCAATGTACAAAGCAAAGAAAATTTGGCATTGAAAAGTAAACTGTACACTTCAACTTGTGCATTCAATCATTCATTCCTTCATTGTGGATGGGGCAGCTTCTTTCCTGGACACATGCATGTGGCATTTGCTATTGCACAGTGATGACATCACAGTTTCTCCCTGAAAATGGTTAGAGACAGAAAGGGAGCTGGTCTTTGGGGCTGTCTCTCTCTCTCTCTCTCCTCCGTTGACTAAACTCCATTCTTCACCAGCTCATGGACTCCATGCTCGTCGATCATCAGGGTTGGTTGAAACTCTCGGCCCTTCACCAATTCTTCAAGACCCTTAAAGATGTACAGACACCACCAGAACAGTGTTATTGAGTGCACAGAATTATTTCAGGTCGACAGCAGGAAAAGAACATCATCTGGAGTTCCTATTTCATGTGTTAAGCCTTGCTTCCTTACCTCTCCCCCATAGGAAACCAGTGGGGAAATTTCACATTTGATTGGCAGATCTGTTCCATCCTTCAGGCTTTGTTGGAAAGGACATATTCAGAGAAGATCAGAAGGAAAAAAAACAGAGTAATTGTCCCTTGAAACAGACAGATGGATTGTAGCGGAGAAGCAGCTATGAATCCTTGTTCTTGTATTTGGCTTGTGATTAGAGTTGAAAGGCAGAGAATCAGAGCTTCATCATTCCCAAACATGACCAGTGATTAGTCCTCTGACCCATTACAGAAGAAGAAAACAGGCAAATGACAGGTAAAGTATAGGTATCTCCACCGAGTGCCTTTGAACACTGGAGGAACTTTGCACCTCATTACTATCACTCAGCTTGCTCTTCATTACAGACATTTTGCACATTAGGTGTTTCAAGTATTCTGTTGAATAGTTACCCACACAGCTGCATTATGAGAATGAAGGACAAGCTGAATAACTTAGGAAGAAGCACACCTTTCAAGAGCCTGAATAACATTTATAGGTGCCATGAATGTTACTGAAGCACATGCTGATTTACTTGAATCTTATTAATAAATAAGTCAGTATATTTGAACTCAAAGGCCAACTAGCAAGCAATAAACGGCTGCCCCTGTTCTAACTGTATTAAACACAAATCAATTATTGCAGTTGTTGCCGTTTGTTGGAAAGTGTGACTGGTGCCCATTACCCAGCATGCAACACAATGCATTAGTAGCAACCATCTAAGGAGAAAATGATCTGTCAGCATGTCGTTCTGACTATACTTCACCTGATCAGGAAGCTAAGAGTACTGCATTTTGAGTTGTCTCAAATGATTCTGTCATTTCCTTCATCACGACTGATGGCAAAGAGACAGAAAAATGGTGGCCAACTGCCTTCTGTCCACACACATTCTTCTTTTCAGTGGTAATGCAGGAAAGGAGACACCAAGAATCATAAGTAATGTTATATGGTGTTAACAAATCCTAGCAAGAGGGAAAGAAAGTCAGAACCCCATCACCATGCACTCTGTACTCCAGGGGGATAATTACTTTCTGTGGCCATCATCTGTGACACTGCCTGCTGCTCCGTCGCTGGACACATTGCACAGGACACACAGGAGCAAGTCCAAGCATGAGAGAAGGGGATGTGAGAGTGTGAGGCTAAAAGAATATATCTATAATACCAACAAACAAAAAAAAGCCAGTGCATACAGTTTGAACACATAGTGTGCAGAGTGTTGGGAAGGTGGGAACGACCGCGAGGACCTGTTTCTGTTTTCATGCAAAACCTAGAGTGCGTTTTTCTTGAAGTGAAGTGACATGACATGCATGATGCTGTGTGTCACCTGGGGATGGCAGGCACACGTCTGCCATTTTCATCAATGAAGTGACCCCCAGCGTTGAGCACCCAGCGATGGTGGAGCGACATGAGGGCGTGTCGAGCTGTGGTGGGTGTGTCCTTTCCATCCTGACTGTCTGCATTCTTCAACGGGGAGAACTCATCCTCCCTCAGTACCTCGTACACAACAAATGTTCTGTTGGGCACCAGAGAAACAATGGTATTGTGGTTTGTTTCTTAGGTTTGCTTTAGCACTGAAACAATTAGTCATCCACACAAAAATAATCAGAAAAAATGTTGATAATCAATTAGTTAGATATAATTTTTTTTTTTAAACCATGTACACCATCTCATTTTATCATGTTACAACACTTGCTAATTAGCACAAAACACAAGGTACAAGTCGGCAGGAATGTCATTCGTTTTGCAGGTATTGGGTCCTAAACCATAAACCAATCATAGCACTAGGGGAAGAGTCAGAGTATCAGTTACTACAGTTTATCCTGAGGGTACACAAATTCTCATGTGAGTGATAGAGGAAATGTCAAGGGTTCACCAAAATTATTAGGAATTAGCCTCTGGGGATCATGAATGGTAGAAAACTTCATGGCAATAGAAAATGTAGAGGCGGAGATATTTCCAACTGGATGCGGTTGACCCACCAACAGTCAGACCAACACTGTCACTCAAGTCATGCCAGTAGCATGGCTAAAAGGTTTAATTATCACCAGGGCACTTGCCCCTCCCTCACTACTGCCACTAAGGTGCCAGTGAGCAAGGCATCTAGTCCCCAGCTGCTCCACTGGATCAGGTGCCAGCAGATCAGACTGTGGTTGTGCTGCGCAGTGTTCAGGTGTGTGTACCTGCGACAGGTGGAACAAAATGTTCCTGAAATAGGAACATTGTCCTTGTTTAAACTATCTTGTTTAAATAAATAAATTTATAATTGGTTAAAGCTGGCACCAAAAAAAAGCATATTTCACAGATTATGATTAAAAAAAAAGTTCAGTCAACACTCTGTCCTAAAGCAAACTTGCAAGAAATCAAATTCAGATCATACATCCTAGTCATTTCAGGGTGTTAACGATGCTCCCTTTTGGGCCAGTGTATATCAAATGATCCTGCAATACAATCAAGACGTGTCATTTATTGGTTCATGGATTGTTTGGGATTTGATTCACCATGCACATTCCTGTTTGACTACACTACATGGTTGTATGGTTTCAAGCTGACATAATAAAATATAAAACAAACATGGACTCATGTTGAAGACCATGTTTCTTATTTGGCACATCTGATTGTAGTAGGCTACAGATATAGATACTTTGCCTGACATTTTAGCTATGAATCATATTCTATCCTAAAATAAGTCTAAATAGCCCATAGCTTAAAAGATGTTGAATAGTGGGTGTTCAGTAGGCTAGATGGCAAATGTGATCTCATTTCAAATGTTTAATTGATGAGTTAAAGACCACTCAGCTCTGTTGGGAATCGAACCCACGCTACATTGTTGCAAGACTGTGGTTTTCATGATCACCACAAGTTGCAATCACATTACTTTCACCTATTTGAGTAACGTTAGCTACTACACTCCATGATCCTTCATCAACCCCCACCAATGTGCCTGTTACAGCGCTTACATCCACTGTGTTCCTTTGCTCCGAGTGTCATGGTTTAGTAGTGCTATAGAATCTTTAGTACTGAATGCAACACTGTCAGTCTCTATCTGCTTCAAAGGCTCAGCTCAGCTCTACCACAGAGCCAAGACAACCAAACCAGTGACAGGGTTTCCACTCCGACTGAAGCAGTAAAGTGGTTCAAACGTCACTAGTCATGTGACCAAACCATGCCTTGGCACAGTGGTTCCATACAGCTGCTTCATGAGCTACCGCGCATGTATCAGAGCCTCAGGTGTCACAGGACCATCACTACTAGCCGCATCGGGGGCGAGGCTCACCAATTTGGAAGCTCTGGTCACTTTCTATATGCATATCTGTACTGTAAAGATTCAAAAGCTGAACTGTAAGTGGCTGAGAGTGAAGTTCATTCATTCCATTAGCGCCAATAACTGAATGGGGGCCTGGGGTAGCAGTGGAGCTAACTGAGAGGGGGCAGGAGACCTTGTGAAAGCCCAGGGATTAGACACAAGAGATCACCTTTATGAAGCAAGTGGAAAAGGACGAGTTGACAGCATCACTGTGTAAAGGACAAGAACTACATGCATAGGCTACTGGTGGTGCTGTTTGATGAGAGAAGCAAGAATGGAGGAAAATCGCTGTGAAGGGACTTGTGCATGATTCTCATTTCTATGTTAATGCGAGGCCGGATGTAAAGTGCTGGGGCGCATCATTGAGGCGACACAACACTGACCCAACAAACACTGACGGGGCCATGGCACTTTAACTAGGGCTGTTTTTCTTCCCCTCAGCAACACAGGATTGTATGGAAATGGGAATAGTTGACGATTATGTTTGCCTGCCTGCTTTGCATCAGAACTATGCTCCACAGTATCTTGTAGAAAGCATAAAACTGGCAGTAAGATAAAATTCTCCCCCTATATGACCAGAAAGTTAAAGCATGTTGAACTTGTTGACATTTGATTATCATATTTAATTAGTTTTATGATCAGGGCCACAGTGAGGTGCTGGTAATTTAAGTTGCATTACATTGGCCCTGTCTGTCTGTTCTTGTCTAGCTGCCCATAATCCATACACAAGCCTAGTTTTAATTAACTTAGACATATCAGATTCCCAATTAAATTGTACTTTATCGACAAATTGACCCTTTGTTTCACAGGAGGTGATGATGACGATGAATCGGGTGTGGACACGGAGGACGAGCTGCAGAGGTAAACAAAACAATGTCAGTGATCTGATTATAATATCAACGTGGACAAGATGGTCGTTGAGTCCATCTTTGCTCTGTTGTTGCTCCTGTACAAAAAATTGATGTAAATTTCATAATTCCACTTTGATTGTAGTCGACCTTTCATTAATAATCACATAATAGCACTAAATTTGTTAGGCTGTAGTTTTCCTTCGTAAGACAGTCGCTGAGAATGACCACTTTGAAGATGATCACTGAAATGCAGAGGTTAGTTAGACACAGGAGTGTATTTATATTGAAATATTGGACAAAGAAACAGTCATTTTTTTACTTAAATACCGTATATGGCAAAGTAGGGAGGTTAGAAAATCGGGGACAGGGATGTTTCTTCTTTTGAGTGATGAGCGTGGAAACACACACTAGCAAAAAAAGACGTAATGACTTCTTTCTTTGTCTTCGTAAAAAGAGTGGAAAAGGAGAGCAGACAGAAGAAAGCAGCAGCAGAAGTGAAGGCGGACGATCCATATGGGGGGTCGACAGATGAAAACACAGATGCTGAGGCTGAAGAGGACCATCCCATCCCTGAGCTACCAGGTATGTCTCTCTGTTCATTTAACCAGGTCCCCCCTGTCTCTGTCACAGGAACAGACGTCCTCCCAGTCTCGTCAGACATTGTAATGGATGGCCTTCTGTCGGAGGTCACTAAGATTAATGTTGAGTAAACGATGTCGGACTCCGTAGTTTTCTCTGGGCCCCTGCCCAATCTGACCAATGATGACATGTTTAGCCGCATGTAGTCATTCAACCGCTGGCTGTCTAGGTGGTACAGCTTGCAGCTCCGCTCCCTAAAGCAGGCATCACGAAAAATGGAAAGGAGGTGGCGCTCCACTAAGTCAGAAGAGTTTTTCATAGCCTGGAAAGATAGTTTAATAACATATAAGAAAGCCCTTCATAGTGCCAGAACCGCATTTTATTCATCACTGATTGAGGAAAATAAGAACAACCCCAGGTTTCTTTTCAGCACTGTAGCCAGGCTGACAAAGAGCCACAGTGCTGTTGAGCTTAACATTCCCTTAGATCTCAGCAGCAATGACTTCATGAGCTTCTTTACAAATAAAATCACAACTATTAGAGAAAAAATTGGTCGGACCACTCCCACAGCTCTCGCAGATGTGCCATCTACTACAATGGCTTTAGAAACATCTGTAAGACCTCATTTATACTTGGACTACTTCTCCCCTATAGATCTCTCTGAGTTGACCTCAACAATTGCTTCATCTAAATCATCAACATGTCTCCTGGACCCCATCCCGACCAGGCTGCTCAAAGACGTCTTTCCCCTAATCAACACATCCATACTAGATCTGATTAACCTCTCTCTATTAACAGGTTATGTTCCACAGGCTTTTAAACTTGCAGTAATTAAACCTCTACTCAAAAAGCCTACTCTTGACCCAGGTGTCCTAGCTAATTATAGACCACTATCCAATCTCCCATTTATTTCCAAAATCCTTGAAAAAGCTGTTGCAAAGCAGTTATGTGACCACTTGCACAAGAATGATTTGTTTGCGGATTTTCAGTCAGGATTTAGAGTCCATCATAGTACAGAAACCGCATTGGTGAAAGTCACCAATGATCTTCTCCTAGCCTTGGACAAAGGACTTGTCTCCATACTTGTCCTCTTAGATCTCAGTGCTGCTTTTGACACCATTGATCACAGCATCTTACTGCAGAGACTTGAACATGTTATTGGGATTAAAAGAACTGCGCTACGTTGGTTCAAATCTTATTTATCAGAAAGATTTCAATTTGTTCATGTTAATGACGAATGTTCCACACAAATTGAAGTTAGTCACGGCGTTCCACAGGGCTCTGTTTTAGGTCCAATTCTCTTCACTTTATACATGCTCCCTTTAGGCAATATTATCAGGAAGCACAACATAAATTTCCATTGCTATGCAGATGATACTCAGTTATATTTATCTATGAAGCCAAATGAATCAGGTCAGCTGGTCAAACTTCAAGCATGTCTTACAGACATAAAGGCCTGGATGACCTGCAACTTCTTACTTCTAAACTCTGACAGAACTGACGTTATTGTGCTTGGGCCTGAAAACCTTAGAAATCTGCTGTCTAATCATATAGTTACTTTAGATGACATAGCTCTTGCCTCCAGTACTACTGTGAGGAACCTTGGAGTCATCTTTGATCAGAATATGTCCTTTAAATCACACATAAACCAAGTCTCTAGAACTGCCTTCTTTCACCTGCGCAATATTGCAAAAATCAGGAGCATCCTGTCACAAAGTGATGCTGAAAAACTGGTCCATGCATTTGTTACTTCCAGGCTGGACTACTGTAACTCTTTACTATCAGGGATGTCCCAATAATTCCAGTTAATCCAAAATGCTGCAGCCAGAGTACTGACAGGAACTAGCAAGAGAGATCATATCTTCCATATTAGTTTCTCTCCACTGAACCCCTGTAAAATTCAGAATAGAATTTAAAATCCTTCTCCTAACATACAAAGTTTAGCTATCAAGCTCCTCTCCTATGGAACCAACTCCCAGTCTCAGGTTGGGAGGCGGACACCCTCTCTACCTTTAAGATTAGACTTAAAACTTTCCTTTTTGATAAAGCTTATAGGTGGCTGGATCAGGTGACCCTGAGCCTTCCCTTAGATATGCTGCTATAGGCCTAGGCTGCTGGGGGCCCCATGATGCTCTGAGTTTCTCTCCTCTCATCTATATGCCACCATTACACATCACTAACGGTGTGTCTCCTCTTTCCCGTAGTGTGTCCTTTCTCACTCCCTGTACCTTTTTGCAGGTTGCCCTTGCTCTGGAGCTCTACGCTTCTGATGAGCAGTCACTGGCCACATCAACCTGACCAGTGTTTGTTTGTTGTTGTGTTGGTTGCTTTTCTTTTCTTTTCTCTCTCCTTTATCCACTCATCCCAACCAGTTGAGGCAGAAGGCCGCCCACCAAGAGCCGGGGTCTGTCGGAGGTTTCTTCCGTTAAAGGGAGTTTTTCCTCCCCACTGTCGCCAAGTGCTGCTCAAGGGGGATTTGTTGGGTTTTCCTCTATAATAATAGTAGGCACATGTGGCCGCACAACAGACTATGAGAGCCGAGACCAAACTGAATTGAGAAATAACAGAAAATAGTAGAACCTTTTAAAAATCCAGCCTGCAAAATGAGTCAGCCCATCTGCATTCTGCTAGAGCTGTCAGTCCAGACGCAACTGTGATCCATCTCCCTCGCAAAACCAAGCTCTATTTTTTTTAAATCCTTTCTACTTTGAAAAATAGTGTATAAACCTTGTAGGAAGCTGGACGTGTGCACAGTTTTTCCATCAGTTAATCATTACAGGAATCCTTTCATTAGATGTAAAGTCTATTAGTAGTGGCATGTCTCAGAGCTGATGTCATGTAACACTGGACGAGATGGAATAGCTGAATAGCTCATAAACCTTCATCCTCCTGCAGAGAGCTTGGCAGACCTGGGCTGCTGGAGCAGATCTCGGAGCAGTGGCATGACTGGGACTGGTTGATAGGGATTCGGAATGGAAAAAGGGGGGTTCATGCTTAGAAGAACAGATTGAGGACCAGTCAAAAGCTGGGCGCCTACAAGAATAACAAATGTGATCTGCTCTCATAAGGAGCATATGACTATATTCTTATTACTTTAAGGCCTTTTAACTTGAGGAATAACACCATCTGCGCACACTGTCGCATACACACACACACTCTCTGTGCCCTCCGTAGAATAACAAAGCCAGTAACTCACTTGGAAAACTGGAAGATGTCAAAAACAAACTTCTCCATTTTAATTCCATTTGGTTTGTCTGGTTTGATTAGCTGACCCCGATCATCCACATATGGGATCTTCTTCTGGGCAACATGGTGCTGCAGCTTTGGCTCGTACTTCCTGACAGAAAGAAACAAAGAGATTACTGCACATGCACTGTGTAATGATGCTGAGTTACTCTTCACACTAGAGGAAGCCACAACCACCAAAAACCTTTGTGACAGATATTGATGCAAAAGGACCAGTGAGCACTTGTCTTACTGTACTATGTCCTTGAGGAAGGAAAAGTTGAAGAAGTGATTGGCCACGTTTCCTGCATTGAACATCAATCGGCCATCAGTGCTGCGTTTTTCAGCTGTTGCCAGGGTGATTTCACTGTACTCCACCACCTGATAACGTCCATCCACCTTGCAGACCACCCCCACTGCCTCTGTTGGATTGGTTTTCTCCACCACCTGGAAAATTGATGTCACAAAAACTGTTAACTGAACTATTTACACAGCAAGTCCAGTTTCTAGAGTCAAAGTTAGAGTAAATTTTAAAAATGAAAGTTAAAAGAACCCCCTTTCCCATCTGTTCCTAATGACAGACTGTAATCCTGATGAGGGGGTTGGGGAGCAGGGCGGGATGAGAGGTAGGAGGGGGCGGTCAAGCCACATGTACTGTAGTGGAGCTTAATAATTTATGATGGGAGGGTAGGACTGCTCTGATCTGAGCCTTCCATCTTTGCTGCACCACACAACTTATAATATCAAACAGGAGCGGTGTCTGGATGATCTTCAGTTAAATACTGTATCTGTTCTATGTTAGCTGGAAAACACAGTATGGATGAAAGTTTATTTCAAAGTGGTACTGCTAAGAAATAAAGCACCATTACAATAAAAGAACTCAGAATAACTGGAACTGTGATTGTGTATTTTGATGAAGTTGCCATGGTATGTTCATTTATTTCAAAAATTACATAGGAGGGCCTAACTGACGCTGTAACGGTTAGTCAAAAGACCACCACAACATACTTGGACTTCTTAAGACTTATTTATTTAACCAGGAAAACCTCAGTAAGGTCACTGATTTAGTTATCAGTCAACAAAAGCATGTTTCTTGATAGTTACAGGGCTGACCCCTCTAGTTTGTTATTTCAATCTCCTTTTAGTGTGGACCTTGATATCAATTATATAAACATAGCCCCAACTCAAGGCTGACCATTACTCTACCAGGCAAACAACTGTTGGCTTCCAGCTTCCAGTGCAGTTTTTTCAACATCACATTAGGATGGGCCAGTTCTGCTTACATGAACATCCTCATCACTGCTAAATGCATGTGCATAGTCAAACACTCCTAGCTGAGTGTTTCAGATGACAGCAAAAGGTTTCATAATATTCCTTTTATGCCATGTACAGTATGGTGGTTGTACTGATGTACATTACTAGCCAAACAAAAATGAGTGAAAAGTTGAAAATGTATTTAAGACTTAGCTGTATTCATTTCTAGTTAACCTCTGTACCCTGAAAAGCTTTTATTCCTTCTGTTAGGTATTTTTAGTCAGATAGAAATTGGATAAATACTTTATGTATTAGAAATGTTTAGTGGAGATAGGATGTCTAGTTAGACTGTTAAATGCTTAGGCATGCTTATGAGTTTCTACAGGGTACATCTGGTCAAGGATAACTAGAGAGAAGAGTTGATGACTGTCAGCAGACAGGGTGTTTAATATTATTATTATGACGTGTATAACTGTAGCCTTAGCCATAATATGTTCTTATGTTTAAGTCACGACATGTACTAGAGGTCGTGTGAGAATGTTTTTAGCTACACACCACTTAATCAACAGACACACACACACACATTGATTTGCTTCATGTTTTGACTACTGCTATGACCAGCTGCAAAGCTGGCACCAGGGACACGTCACGGTTTGACGTTTCTGTGTAGTATGGGGCTAGCCCAACCGAGGGGATATAATGTATAGGCCTGGTGGGTTCAGGGTCTTTCATCTTACATCTGCCTGAGTGCAGTATGGAGGTGCAAGATACCCGAGCGTGTAATGTTAATTTTTACCTGCGTTCATGGAATAAATCAGCACTGTTTTGTAGTTACTTGGACTGCCTCGTCTCTCAGAGTTAGCAATGGTAAAAAGTACCGGGTACAACACTTCCCTAACTGAAGGTACACTTTGTCCAAAAAACAGTGTAGAAAAAATGGCATCTTCTCAAAACACTCACATTTTCTGAGATCACTGTGAAAAATGTGGAAAGATTCTGGGCCCAACCCTCAAATTTCCTAGAAAGCGGTAAGGAATTCATCAAGACCACCACAGGAGCAAACAGTGTCCTCTAGCTCCACCCAGTGGTAGGTTGTGGAAGGTTTAGCAGTTTGGAAACAAACTGCTGTAACAAACAAACTGACCACACCTGTTATACAAGTCAAACACCCACTCAAAAGATTTTACTCTACACCCGTCAGCCTTTAGGATCTCCTGGAATTTAACTGGCTGATCAGTCTGGACCACATTCAGCTACTGTGGCTCAACCACTCATGTACTCTGTTCACTTGTAAACTTCTTATACGCCTATTACACTTGAATATGGGTGGTTCTTGGCCTAATTTGAAAGGACACAATCATTGATGCATGTCTCTTTGCAACACACTTTCCCATTCATTTTAGTAGGAAAGTGTGTCCAAACTCAACTGGTAATCTATAATGAAAATATAACTCTGAATTTAACCGTTTAATAGGTCTAGTGCTATATCAACTGTCGTTCATTTTTCTTCAGCATCTGATATGAAAGACAATTTAGTTGTGTTCTACTTAATCCTAAAGACAAAAGTAAATGTAAAAGGTGACTTTTAAACAGCATCATGAATCACGTTTAAAAAGTATCACTATGAATTCATCTAAAGACATAACTGAAACCTTTAAAGAGTGCAGCAGATGTCCTGAACCAGGTGTAAAACAGACAGAGAAGTGTGACCAACCTTCGCTCCACAGTCTGCTCCCTTCTGCACACAGAAGCCAATAAAGGCGGGGTCTGCCACTTTGACCAGGATGTTATCAACACAATACACATGGATGAACTCGATTCCCTTCTGCTCCATGTCACCCATGATGCCCTGGTTGCCCAGAGCTCTGTAAAGACCCCCGTTCCCATCTGAAACACAAGCACATTTGTTTCAAATGCGATGCACAAACTATACTTGGCAAATAAGACACAACAACACTGTGAGTGGAGCCGTAAATCACAAACCCTCGGGCTTACCAGGAGCCATGGACAGCTTTCCTTTACTCTCCAGGATGATCTTGCCATTATAGTCCATGGCTGGTAGCATGCCCTGCTGAAAGAAGATGATGTTGTTCTTGTGCAAGCCAAAGTAGTTATGCCGCAAGAAGAAGTCTTCTGTGGACTCCATTGTCCTGCCACTGGTCATGATGTACCTGAAGGCAACATAGAAGGAATGTAGTACCAATTCATACATTATTTGTTTTCCTCTAGTTTCAATCATTTATACAAGTGTATGAAATATAGATGTGCGAAGAAGGGTTTATCATTAGGAAAACCCTTCTAAGTAAACAAAAATCCTTGTTTTTAATTTTTGAAGTGCTGCAGAAAACGTCTTCAGTGACTATTCACCGAAATGAGCTGATGTTAGCACAAGCCAAAGGCATACAACATAAAGTTCAAGGGTCAGGCTATAAAAAAGTAACAACTTACTTACAGAACCAGACCTGCTGAAGAGTATATCATTCTGGCATTCATTACATAATCTTCAGTGAATGTTAAACTGTAACTACAGTGAAGACTTTGTGCACTGCCTTCCTTCCTTTTAAAATGTCCCTAGTCCCAACACGACTGAGCTTCCTTTAATGCTCAGAGTGATGTGACCCAATGATACATTTATTACACAAACACAATTATGACAACTGGTTATACACCCTGTTTAGTAGGTACCTCAGGCCAAAACTAATGCAGTCTAATCCAACTGTCCTGTGATAAAACCTCTCTCCATGCAGGTGATGATGTTCAGTTTTTGCTGAAACTGTTTTAGAGAGGTGTTTATCCAAGAGGCCATTTAAGAAGATGTATTTTGTTCTGCTTTTGAACTGCATCACATTACAGGTGTTTGCCAGGTGTTTGTTATTTTATGCACGCCATTTACATCAGTGAGGCTAAATAAGAGAAACACATCTCTGTAATGCAGCACAGTTCAACAGCAGCACAAACTATAGCCTCCAAAATGATCATACAGTTGCGTCAATAAACCTGCCAACTGAATGCAGCTTTCTTTATAAATTAAGAGGCAGTATTTGGTAGCTTAGGTCTGCTTATTTTTCTCAAATAAAGCGACAGATTCAGCCTAAAGTCCATTAAGTCATCTCTTCCTAAATAACCTCTCTAAGAATAACATAATGTCTTACCAGGGAATACAGCACTTGACTTTGAACTTCTGCTCAGCCAGCCACTGTAGCTTCAAAATGCGCTCAGCCTGGATCTGAAAAAGGGTTTTGTGAGACGGCAGCCCCACATTGTACATGCCTTTGGGGTAAGAGACCCCCAATCTGGTTCCCTGGCCCCCAGCCAGCAGTAGGACTGCCACTTTACTCTGAGAGATGCATTGAAGACCTGAGGAACAGAGAAGGACAGTCTGAAATGATATACAGTTACAAAAATGTGTGTCCTTTTGGGTATTTAAGATAAACATTGAGGCCTAAACATAGACATAAACATAAACCCTGTATTATGGTACACAATCAAAACTTTTAGTATAGTATCTAATCTGTACTGAAGGTCAAGTGCATCCTTTTTGCCTTTGTAATAACATCTTAGATGAACAGTAACAATCCTAACCAAAATAATCCTGATAAAATGTAGTAACAAAATTTATGAAGCCATTGCCCTAGATTATAGGACTAGTCCTACCCGACTTTGCCAATGTGGCATATTAAAGTAGCCCTAAATGAATATTTAATAACCCTACTCAAGCCTCTGACTGCCGTTATTATGGATCGCTTGTTCAATGGTTTATAATAGCTTCAGTTTATTTTACACAACTGCTGCTACGTGACTTGATACAAAACACTTTTACGACTTGTAGGTTACAAAATACAACACACATACACAAAAACACACACCACACCCTGCAGATTTGGTCTCTACGGGACAGGCTGACCTCATGAATGAGGTTCTAGGAGTAACTCAGTTTACGTCAGGTCCTAATCAAAAGCAGATGTCCTGAGCTGTCCACCTCCACAGTCATCCTCCCCCAGAAACAAAAGCCTAACAGATTCACTAAATGGCCAAACCCCTACTACTGTGAGGGGAGATTGCGCAACGCATCATGAAGAATGAAAGCTGATTTACATATATTTCAAAACTCTGCAGGAGAATGAGACTGGGAACAGTTTGTGAGTTTAGACAACCACACTGAGGGTAAATGGAGAGTTTCTGATGCTGCTTCGAAGATGCACTCACATGTTCTCTAAGTGTATTTCTATATTAAATCAAATAAACTCAAATACTGACAAAACAATTCTTCTTATTTCTTTATAACATAAAGCACTCTGTCCAAATAAAGGTCCAGGCAGTAACTGTCTGCATGAAGATATTTTTGGGGGACAGCAACAGTTTTAATGGAGCTCACCTCTTAGCTCCCAGTCTTTGAGATTTTCCCTGTCCCTCGTCACACTACCCAGCACCTCACGCGGTACAGGCTCCATGCGGGCATCCATCTTCTCGTGTTTGCTGCTGCTGGATGTCTCCATGGCATTTCTGAAGAATCCGTTGATCTCCTGAAAGTCCATCCCCTGCAGCTCATTGATCAAGTCAGCCTGCCCCTCAGGGCTCAGCTCAGCCCAGAACTGCAGGAGGTGAGACTGGCCAGCTTCAGCCAACCGCTGAGTGAGTCCACTGGCATTCAGGTCCATGATCAGCAGTGCTTTTGATTAACTATGCCACACTAAAATACAGATGAAAACATGAGATGAGTGGTAAGCAGGGTCACAGCTACAGTGCCTTGTGAAAGTATTCGGCCCCCTTGAACTTTGCAACCTTTTGCCACATTTCAGGCTTCAAACATAAAGATATAAAACTGTAATTTTTTGTGAAGAATCAACAACAAGTGGGACACAATCATGAAGTGGAACGAAATTTATTGGATATTTCAAACGTTTTTAACAAATAAAAAACTGAAAAATTGGCCGTGCAAAATTATTCAGCCCCCTTAAGTTAATACTTTGTAGCGCCACCTTTTGCTGCGATTACAGCTGTAAGTCACTTGGGGTATGTCTCTATCAGTTTTGCACATCAAGAGACTGAAATTTTTGCCCATTCCGCCTTGCAAAACAGCTCGAGCTCAGTGAGGTTGGATAGAGAGCGTTTGTGAACAGCAGTTTTCAGTTCTTCCCACAGATTCTCGATTGGATTCAGGTCTGGACTTTGACTTGGCCATTCTAACACCTGGATATGTTTATTTGTGAACCATTCCAATGTAGATTTTGCTTTATGTTTTGGATCATTGTCTTGTTGGAAGACAAATCTCCGTCCCAGTCTCAGGTCTTTTGCAGACACCATCAGGTTTCCTTCCAGAATGGTCCTGTATTTGGCTCCATCCATCTTCCCATCAATTTTAACCATCTTCCCTGTCCCTGCTGAAGAAAAGCAGGCCCAAACCAGGATGCTGCCACCACCATGTTTGACAGTGGGGATGGTGTGTTCAAGGTGATGAGCTGTGTTGCTTTTACGCCAAACATAACGTTTTGCATTGTTGCCAAAAAGTTCGATTTTGGTTTCATCTGACCAGAGCACCTTCTTCCACATGTTTGGTGCGTCTCCCAGGTGGCTTGTGGCAAACTTTAAACGACACTTTTTATGGATATCTTTAAGAAATGGCTTTCTTCTTGCCACTCTTCCATAAAGGCCAGATTTGTGCAGTATACGACTGATTGTTGTCCTATGGACAGAGTCTCCCACCTCAGCTGTAGATCTCTGCAGTTCATCCAGAGTGATCATGGGCCTCTTGGCTGCATCTCTGATCAGTCTTCTCCTTGTATGAGCTGAAAGTTTAGAGGGACGGCCAGGTCTTGGTAGATTTGCAGTGGTCTGATACTCCTTCCATTTCAATATTATCACTTGCACAGTGCTCCTTGGGATGTTTAAAGCTTGGGAAATCTTTTTGTATCCAAATCCGGCTTTAAACTTCTCCACAACAGTATCTCGGACCTGCCTGGTGTGTTCCTTGTTCTTCATGATGCTCTCTGCGCTTTAAACAGACCTCTGAGACTATCACAGTGCAGGTGCATTTATACGGAGACTTGATTACACACAGGTGGATTCTATTTATCATCATTAGTCATTTAGGTCAACATTGGATCATTCAGAGATCCTCACTGAACTTCTGGAGAGAGTTTGCTGCACTGAAAGTAAAGGGGCTGAATAATTTTGCACGCCCAATTTTTCAGTTTTTTATTTGTTAAAAAAGTTTGAAATATCCAATAAATTTCGTTCCACTTCATGATTGTGTCCCACTTGTTGTTGATTCTTCACAAAAAATTACACTTTTATATCTTTATGTTTGAAGCCTGAAATGTGGCAAAAGGTCGCAAAGTTCAAGGGGGCCGAATACTTTCGCAAGGCACTGTACAAACACACTAAGGCCATATCCTTGTTTAAATTTCTAGAAATTTGGGGAATTATAATGGCATGAAGATGAGTTTATATTCTACATGAATCTTCGTGGACAATGATGTTTGCGGATGACATTGTGATCTGTAGTAAGAGCAGAGAGCAGGTGGAGGAACACCTGGAAAGGTGGAGGTCTGCTCTGGAAAGAAGATGAATGAAAGTCAGTTGTGGTAAGACAGAATACGTGTATGAATGAGAGGGACAGGGAAGTGGAACAGTGAGGTTACAGGGGGCTGAGGTCAAGAAGGTGCAGGAGT